ACATTGTCATGGCGAACTGAAAAGTTTCCGGTATTTGCAAAAAATATCAGAGTTTATAAAATCTTTGTAACGATCTTTACCAAATACGGAAGGTATGTGATAAAAGCAAGACCACACACTTGTGGTTTTCTAACGAATCAGAAAGCACTTATTTATTGCGCGGACGTATATATTCACTCGTGCGCGAAGATATTCGTCCGCGCAATAAACTTTTGCTTTCTGATTCGTTAGAAAAACACAAGTGTGTGGTCTTGCATATATACCACCTGTAACCTATAGCACATACACTATAACACTCAGTCCAGACAATCCTATAATTTATTATAGGGAGGGAGAGGTTACAGCCTTCAAAGTCTGCTCCAGGACACAGTCAGGGAGCTACGTACTGATTGATAATTATTATTAGACAAAGTCAGTGAGTGCTCACATACTTGTATATATAACTCTCCCACACCTACACCCCACAAAGCGCTAAGGGGGTTTATAAGATGTATTGCACAAAAGCTTTTACTTCAAAAGTGAACAAATGTGACACTTAACCCTTTACCTGGGATAGACGACTACCAAAATCTGGTGCAGAACTCGGTATTTTGTTACATGATGTAAAACTATAGCTTAATCTGTAGAGGGGTTTATGAGATAATCTTGTACAAAACCTTTAAACTATGGGTGGATGATTTCACTGATGTACATAGTAACTAAGTGATAACTGTACACCGGTACACCGGCCCCCTCCAATTTAGTAAATGAGGATCCAGGACCAGGATAGTAAAGGATGAGTGCCCAGGGGGCTATTTTTTTGTTCAGTTCAAAGAGTGGACAAACACCTTTCCAAGTAAGTGGTGGATCAGGTAAAGTTTGAATTCTGGCCAAAAGACAATAGAATGAAAATATTAATTTCTTTCATTGATTCAAAAACACAGAAAAAAGGCAAAGTATTGCAAGGAAATCCATAGTCCCCCATCAGTAATAATTTCTATATTTAACAAACAGTACACTTATGTCAGGATGTATCTACTGTTAGGAAAGTATCCTGATACATACTTCTTGCACTCCGCCATCCCAAGATGTCCTTCTACACAAAATCTGGTTTCTCCAGGTGTAACAGTATAGAAGATATGCCTCGGACAAACATTTACAAAAGTAAAGGTCAAAGGTCAAGTCCTAGGTCACAGTGACCTAACTATTGCACTCTGCACTCCGTCATCCCAAGATATCCTTGTACACCAAATCTAGTTACCCCAGGTGAAATATAGTACCCAAGATATGCCCCGAACAAACTTCTAGAACGGAAGAACAAAGGGACAGAAAGATGGAAGGATGGAAAGACGGAAGGACAGCCATAAGGACATAATTAAGGGAGTGCAAACCTATAGTCCCCTCCCCCCCCCCTCCGGGAACCGGTTGGGGACTGATATTAATAGCCTGCTATAATACTCTACATTTAATAAAGTGGTGACTACCTTTTGAGTCCCCTATAAGGGGGCATCAGTTTGAGAGACCAAAGGGGACAGCAGTCTATGAGAACAAAAGATTGTTTTTTCTTCTGTGTCAAAACTATAACATTTTCTTTGTGTTGACACTCTAAAATCACCTTTTGGAGAGTATGGCCCCATCATCTGTGGATGCCATCATCATACCATCTTAAATATACATGGTGTCATCAATATACAATATTAGCCATTGTGTAGGTGAATTAACCCAATACAAACAAACAAACAAACAATTAGCTTTGTTTGGAACAAAGACATCTTAGCTTTTACAACAAGGATATATTTAAAACTTTTTTTATTTTATTTTCCAGATTAGATTATTTATTTTCTACATCCATTTGGTTTCAAACATAAATCTTTCTGGTTAAAAGTAAAGTAAACTTTTTGACAATTTTCAGAACAGGTAAGTTTAAACACTTGGATGGATGATTTATTTGAAAAGTCATATCCTGGCAATTATAATATTTTGTTTATGATTTGGAACATGTACCTACTTTTGGATACTGTCCTGAATGTAGCTAACAGAGGATCACTCCGCTCACTACCACTGACGGTGGTTACAGAGATGCTGTATCGCTGTCCGTCTAGTACATTAGCGGTATAGGTTATAGATTCTGTAGGTGTGGTGGTGGGACTAAGTACCGGTGTCGTTGTGACGTCATAACTAGTTTTAATACCCCTAGGAAGGTTCCAGGATAATATTATCTGAGGACCGTCTACATCTGTCGCTGTAAACCCTGATGGTGTAGATGGTTCTGTAAGAAAGGGTAGATGTGTTGTTATAGTATATTAATAACATGCTGTTTCTACAATGTTATTAAATTATGACATTAAGCGTAATATCCAATATAATTGTAATCATATTTTCTTCCCTACAGGGTTGTATTCCTTCCCTCACATGATTTAAGTTTCGTTATTGCAGTATAAACCTGGTAGACTTGTTAGCAGAATTTTAAGTGGATTCCATCATGAGATTACCTCATTGGGAAATAATGATGCCAAGGACGGAAAACATTTGGAACAGTTGCAGAAAAGGGCCCTAAATATGTAAATCAGTTTAGCAGGAATCTATATATGAACTAAACATCTACCTAAACTCTCTTATATATAGTATCCACCTAAACTCCACCTAAAATCCACCTATATCTCTACCTCAAATCCACCTAAATGTCTACCTCAAATCCACCTTAATTCCATTCAAAATATGCCAAAAAAAGATAGCCTTCCTGATCTTGATAGCAATCTTGGAGCCGTTAGAAACTTATCCCCTTTTGATGCAGGATATGACGAAAGCTGCATCAGTGTGCACGTATAGTTTTATGTACACTTGTATTCATACAACAGAGACCAGCTTAAATGCCTCTGAGTATTATAACTATATCTGAATTGTGTTNATAACTGTATCTCAATTGTGTTGCATTCATAGTTTAAAACAATACAATCTTATTTCAATTCCTTTATTGAATTCAGTTTACAGCGTTTAACACTTACTCATTGTTGTTGAAAATGTAGTTACAGGATATTGTTCCTCTGAACGACTTCCAGACTCCACAGAGCGGACAGAGAAGGTATAGGTCTGACCTGGTACGAACCCCACTAACTGTACAGCTGTGGTAAATAGAGCGTCGTAGAACGTGTTCCCATTGATGGTTGCAGACGGAGTCCAGTGTACCTCATACCTGTTGACCTGGTCAGTGTATTCTGATGGAGGTGTCCAGTTTAAGTTGACTGTGTCTGTTCCCTCCTTTGTTAATGTTAGACCAGTCACTGCTAGTGTGGACACTGTCAAGAATTGATCAATATAATGCTTACATTTGAGAACCTCACAAACTGCATATGTTGAATCCGATATATTCTGGGAGTGTTTATCATTAACACCACAATGTCATATCTGACATCTAACTATCTGTATACAGTTTATACTATTATATTGTTGTAAAGAAAAAAAAGTTGTTTTATGTATGGTTTCATTAACACAAATTAACATAATTGACCTCAATTCATGACACTGCAATAAAAATTATGAAATACAAAAACAAGTATTATTTCATCAGAGCAATAATAAACACAAGCTAAATACGTACTTGCAATACACATGCCTCCAGGAGTGGAATACCCATTGCTGTCAAAGTACATTGAGTTACATCTGCAGACATTGTTTACTCCATCATCAGCCTGGATACATGCAGCATTGGAGTCAGCACATTGTATATCACCATTACAATTAACACTTAGACCAGCATCTGGGGGGAAAGGAGTTTTTTTCTCAGAAAGTTTAAACCAAGTGACTTACATGTTTCACATTTCAGTTATACATAATCAACAAGTGTGTTTTAAGTCTATTTATTCCTAACTATATCATGTATCGGTATTCAATGTTTTGAAAACTTTATCGAAGTGATGGACTTCTAGATAAATTGTCGCATTGAATTATGCCCCAATGATAGTCACAATCATAAAATAACAACTGACAGTGTAATTTTGTTTGATGCAATATTTTTGTCAGTATTGATATATTTAGGCCAGAATTAATAAAAAGTGGTTTTTAACATCTAGGGATGTATGATCAGGCCAATAGGAAATCTTAACAGAGGTATTACATATGCTCCAATCAATTTGTACCTTTGCAAAATTGCAAACTAAGCACAAACCAGCCTTCTCAATGCCACCTCGACAATTGGTGAAAAGAAATAAGGCTTCTTTCAGAAATAAAATGACACAAGTTAATGAAAAGTATCTGCCATAAAATCAGATAATTCTTGTATCACTAATTTTGATTAGTTCAAGGAAAATGTGGTAGAGAATAAGATGGTAGTGAATTCATCTTGTCCTATCTAGTAATTGTATACATGGTTAAAGTTTTTGGATTTCAACTGTTTCCATGACTGGGAGTAAGTCTCCAGTGTTGGGGCCAGACCTCAAAAGCAAATCCTGGTACATGTGTGTCATAAGAGTATTCTATAGGGTTATAAAGTTGAATCTCAACTATGTCCATGTTGTCCCACTATTCACATTGTAGGCTTTGTCTCTCTGGCCACAGGGAATGTACAAACTTCATTTATACAACATATTATCAACTTGATCAATTCAAGTTTTACACCAAATGTGGTAGCAATCTGTGAAGTTGAAGTTGGTTATTGAAGATAGAATTGTATAATTTTGCCCTATATCGGACCCATCTTATGACATTAACAATGGCCTAAGTGACAATTCCAACTTCTTCTATACAATGTATAAACACCTAGGTTTATATCAGACCAATCATGAAAACTATTGTGTTGTCTTTCTGGAAAGGTTTAGTCGAAAGTCTTAAATTCATCAATATCCTTTATTAGGCCCAATCCCTCAGCAATCCAGCACACAGGGAGACCATCCGTCCATCATACAAAACTGATTCTCTTGTGTTAAAAATGCAAGATTGAAAATGTGGTTGATATATGATCAGTCATTGATCAGGAGGAGCAAGGTTTGAGAGGAAAACTTGAAAGAAACCGGATGACAGATTGATGATAGACACTGTGCCATGACTTTAGCTCACTGGTCATAAGGATCAGGTACACCAACGAGTTAATCAAAAGTGTTTGCAGTAGAATTCAGATCATATTATGTGAAAATTAATGATCTTTCTAAAGCTGTTGATCAGATTAGTTAGTACTAAAGGTAGTTCACAAGTCATCAAGGATTGTTATTTGTCACCAGTTTTCCTTTGCTTATAAGTTGATAAAAATAGCAACATATATCACAATAAATTGAGACATCATCAATAGATTAACTACGTTCAATAACAATATAAACAAAATA